CGTTATATTGGTTTCTTCTTTTCCTTCGACCTTGGGCTGAAAGATAAGACTGCTCGTTTTATTTTGAAAATAATAGTATGCATTTTAAGGGGAACGATCCCTAATACTTTCAAATATGTAGCATAAAACTAATTTCCGGATTTTAAATATACATTGTCACCAAAGAATTAAATATTCTGCACAAGGGAATTTTGCTTTTATTTTTGAAAACACTCTTCGATATTGGTATTTCACCTATTTTGTTGATGGATTTTGGAAGCAATCAGTTCCTTATAAACAATACCTTACAGCTTTTCCATACACATATATCCAACATTTACAACCAATTACACACACAACATTATAACAACCATTGATAAAAAGAAGTGCAACTTGTTTTATGCCTACCCAACCTGCGTACCATAAAAACGATACATTTCAACACTGCATTATCATTCTAACCTAAAAACAGAACACTAAAATCAATAAACAAACAAATACGCAATGTTTAAATCAGCTGGTATATTCAAAAGAGCTTATAGAAACACTGTAGCAGTACTTCCAATAGAAAACGACTGTATCTTTAACGGCCTGTGGGGCAGAGCAGGGGAAATTTTTGACACTAACTTCTGATATTTTTCCCACCGTCTTAGGACCTTTTAGCTTTAAAATTAATCCTCAATAGCTACCATTTTCCTAGCTCAAAATATTTCGTGGCGACCGATTCGCTTTTCGGAATTCAATATATAGATAGATAGAAGATATCGTGACAAACCTCAGAGACGTTTTTAAGACCAAAAAGCTACAAGGAGAAAGTAGTGTATAAAATATTTATCAGTACGGCGCTCCCTACCTAGAACCTAGCTATTTCTTCATGAACTTGAGTTACACTCGAGGGGGAGTCTAGAAAGGAGAAGTCTTATTTCATTCGTTCCTTTCGTCTTTCCTTATTCAACTCCGTCTATCCCACCTGTGTCATAAAAGGTAGGCGGGTGTAATGGAATTCCTGATCCCCGAAGTTGTTCAGAAAATAAACAGAAAATTGTGATGGCGAGTGTCTTCGAACAGTGTAAAAACTGTATTTCGTAAAAAAAAATATATTTAGTAACATTTATTTAGGCCTATAACATTTTTTGCAACAAAAAAAGCGCATATTGTCCATATTTCAAAACTTTTAAACATAAAACACACTGTAAATGTATGTATAATAGTGTTGTAGAACTAGTTTAGTCTTTGATGTGAATGGCTGTTACTGAGTGAAGTTGAAAAGGGAAATATAATAAGGGGTGGTGAAATCTGTTATTCTAATACAAGAAAACAGTAGTACGACCAGGTATGTTTCGAAGGGTAATAAACCTATTTTTTAGGGTAAATTATTTTTTGGGTAAATTATTTTTAGTAAACCAGCTCTAGAGGGATGGTTCATGCGTGAGAAAGAGAGCCCCTCTCTACAGTTAGATCAGGATGGGTTAGGTTAGGATAGGTTGGGTTAGGGTAGGTTGGGTTAGGATAGGTTAGGATAGGTTGGGTAGGATAGTTTGTGTCAGGATAAGTTAAGCTAGGATAGGTGAGAACAGGTAAGGTTTAGTCCTAAATGAGTTTTTGTTTGAAAGCATTGTCGAACCACGAACACAAGAAACACATGAAAACACGAAAGTAAGTCTGAATACCGATTTTACCGTTAGTAGTAAGTGTAAAAGTTTTTTTCTTTGTCGGACTTATCCTATTATGCCTATAAAGTTAATGTAACAATAAATTATTATTATTCCCCTATATGGGAAATTCGCTAAAATAACGAAAAAATTACACTAATTAATTCAATTAATTGAAATGAGTACGCCACCTAACTAGGTGCGTATTTTAACCCAAATGAGTGAAGGATAAGTGTAGAATGGTGTGAGATGATTTGTGCATCTTTGTTACTGACTAAGATCAGCTGTTTCATTAGTCAGGATAATCTTTTTAAAGCCCAATAATCAGGGACAGCTGGGTCCAGTTTCGAACCATCAAAAAGCTACTGACTTTTCTCAGGATCAAACCGACAACCTTGTGATTAGGCGAGCACTGTAACCACTCAGCTACCCAACCAAAACACATTGTAATATAACAATTTCTTTTACGATTTCCATGTAACAATACAACTCAGGTTAAGTAAGGTAAATGAGTAATGGTGAAAAATGAGCTATAAATAATGCATTACTATACCAATCATAATCATTGTTTTTTAGCCATTACTGCAAAGTCATTTTCTTCTCTCCTTTCCGTAGTTTGAAAATCGCGTGAGATTGTAGCCGATGATAAGCAGGTCGTGCCGACATGGCAAGTTGTTGAGTCGAAGGAGAATTTCTTCTCAAAAAAGTTATAAACATTCAAATGTCAAAGGAGTTTATAACCGTAGGTCTGTAATAGCAATTTTGCGTTTTCAACTCAAGTAATTGTAATGTTTAGTTAAAGTACTTAGAAGAATGTTTAGGTTAAAATGTTATTATTTACCTATGACCATTATTTTCTTCGCTAATGAAATTTTCTAAACCAGTTAATTATACATTTCGACACTCATGCTTTACAATAAAATGTCTTGTAAACACCATGAAAATGTATAAGTTTTACGTTGAAAAGCATAGAAAACCTAAAATAATCTTTAGCAAGTCCGTTGCTATTTGAGATGCACTACACCATAAATATGTTTGGTTTTAATCAATTTATAAGTTTATGTTTCTGTGTTAATTTTTCAACATATTACCTAACAGTTTCCATACAAGTTTTGTATACACAAGGGATACATATACGTTAAACCCTTAAATGCCTTTTTGGTTTTTTAACCTATAATATTATTTGTGCATTTAAAAAAATACTTTGGTTTGCACTTGAAAATACGTATAATAGTAATATACCTCTAAAAAGAAAAAATGTATTTGTCTTATCAACAACTACATTTATCAGAAGAGGCGCCCTACTCTACAAAAGAAATCACTCTGTCAAGAAATTGTACTTAATATACCTTTGTTAAATTCAAATTATTATTATTTCTTCATTAAAAATATTTATCTACCTTGTATCGTCAGATAGTGTTTCAGTTTACAAAGTAGCACGGCACACGTGGGTGTTTTTTCCATCATCACAATAAATTATGAACACAACTCTGCTAATAACACATTTTAAAACCTCATCAGAGGAGGAGGTAATCCTGGTAATTATTGGCATTAGTTGTGTTTAAGGCGGTTTCTTGTGAGATTGATGGCTGCCTATAATGACTGAGGGATCTTCCGTAATGATCCATCAGTTAATGATGCTTAACCTGCTTGGAAAGTTATTATAAAATCAAATTTTTGCAAATTTCTCTCATTTATACTTTTACAGTGTGTTACTTAGTAGGATTAAAGTAGTCGGTGAATATTGGTTAACCATTTTCTTGGGGTTACATTTTTACGTGATACAACTGTTTTTTTTTTTTTCAATTGTGATTTGTAGTTGAACCGTTTTATGTATTTTGTTCGTTAGCTTAACTATTTAAAGTTGGTAGTATTTAAATGGGTAAAATACATTGAGAATTTATTCTCTTTAGTCCAGTGAGAGCATTTAAATGTTTGCATTGGGATTGTAAAATAGGTTTTAGCGTAAAGGTGCAAATCCCTCTAGAATTGAGTATTAAATATTCTAAAAGAATGATAAGCCAATTTCTACTTACTACGTTTGTTTATATGCTATACCTTTGTACGTGTATACCTATGTCAGAAAATGTGATTTAGGTATGTAACAGAATTATATGTTACACAGTTCCTTTATCAGTTGAATGTTAAATATATATTCTAATTACCCACATATTTATAAAAGTTTTATTTTTACTGTAGCTGAAATAAAAAAAAACGTTTTTGCAATAAGCATTTCAAACATTTTTTACTTGAAAACGTTCCCTTCGATTGAAAAAAATAAGTTTAGGTCAAACATTTTCGTTTTCAAACTGTATATCATCTTTATTTGATAAAATCACTATAATTTTCTGTTTTAAAGACTAATTTTTTAAATGAAAAGTCCCTAATCCCAAGTTTAATGAAATTATAATAGCTGAAAAGTTCGTACTGATAATAGTTAGTTCAACATTTTATGCGGATCAATACATTTTAAAAGGCAGCATTGAACTGACATATAGTAATTATTAGGTTTTAATTAATGCTGAATTAAACCGTATTGGCAGATCTACTTCCACTCGACTGAATGTCATTCGTTTTGATATTCCAACCGTTTGGTTTAATTGGATATTGATTGAGATAATGAGGGTTTGAAATGAGCGTTATTACATTATTCTGAAACTGTTGTGCAAATAAGTTGCATTTTTATTTTAGAAATGTATTAGTCGTATAATAAATTGTAATGTTTACTTAACAGTTAACTGTTTAAACATATCAGCCATTACTAACAGCGTTTTATTTTGCCAAAATAGCTTTAAAGATGGTTAAATTGCGACAAAAACCTAAAATAATATACTCCATCCCCATGTTAAATTTGTAGCCAGATTATTTTTGATCAAAATCGTCGTAGTTGATGTGAGGTCATAGTTGATGTGAGCCACCGACAGAATGCGCTGATCTAAATTACTAAATTCTTTCAAATACACAAATATTTACGAAGTCGAACTTAGGGAAAGGCTTAATCATGAGTTATAGCAACTGAAATGACCCATCAACCTGGTCAGCAACAAAAAATAAGGTATGAAACAGAATTTAAGACACTATCGCATTCTGAGCCGAGCTCACACAACTACAGTACGTTATTTTTTAATAACAAATGTATACAGCTGGTCCATAAAGATAGGAAGTCTAGTTCAGTATCCAATAGTGAATGTCATATTTATTACCAACTGCACCGGGACCAGGAAGAAATATACCAGAAACTGACAACAGCGTATGAATAAGTCGACGAATCTATAAGTTTAATCAATCATTTTAATCCACGTCATTATATATTTGTTGAATCTCTATGTGACTCATTATAATCAGCTGATTGTGTTTGTTGCAGCCAGGATGGTGTAGAGGATGCAACATGTTGCAACTAGTTCTGCTTCTAATCTACACACACTCGTCCTCTGCCCTGGACACGAGTAAGTAACTTAGCAATTAGTAGAAGTTATACTTAATCTTTCAATTTTTTGAGAGTTCTAGAACACCATTATCATTATCATTACCACCATCATCAATTGAGATGGGAACGCCACTATAGTTCGGCCGCTTAGAAAACGACCTGCGCGCTAATGCTAAACCAATGCTGGAGGAGGTCGTTTTCTAAGCGGCCGACCCCGTATTTAAACCAGAATGTGTGAGATGATCTGTGTAGCTTTGTTACTGACTAAGATCAGCTGTTTCATTAGCCAGGATCCTAATAAGCCTAATGGTCAAGGACAGCTGGGTCAAGTTTTGAACCATTAAAATGTTACACATTTTCTCAGGATCGAACCAAAGCCCTTTTGATTGCTATGCAAACACTAAAACTACTGAGCTACCGTTCAGCATAACTAGACTTAGGACTTAGAGAGCATAGAAAAGCAAAAGACATGCAACATGAAAATCTCTATGTTCCACCCGTAATAACCCCTGGAAAGATGACAAACATACAAAGATACACAACACATGCCATACCCCCGGATCAGTTTGGATGTCCAAAAACTACCCTCTGACCACAGACCAATTCGGATACACTTGGGAACACGATAAAAGTAAACTTGAAAAGTCATCTGGTTTTGCATGACCATAGAAAAAAGGATTTAATTCCTTTTGTCTATGGCAAGACCTACGTTTTAACGATGTGACCGAAGCGGCGGTACATGCTGCTATGTGAAATTTCAAGTTACCACCATTAGCAATCTTCATTCTCAGGTTTAAGCTACCGGTGTCATCACTGAATTCTAGATCTTTGGGTGAGAGCCGCGTCAAGTTGGTATTCACAATATGTGCAAAACTAGACATTTCGTCACTACGATGAGGCGTCCTCAGTGGCAATGCTGAGACAAACCGCCATAAGCACATATTTACATAATTTCAAAGTTTACCCATAATCTGGAGGCTAAATAGCCATAATGGAAACAAGCAGATCAGAGGAAATCAATTCTCATCTACGAAATGTGTCTTCAGAAGATTTGAAAGCGCTGAGTAGACGCAGGTAGTTACCAACTGTATAATGAGGGCTGTATTAGCAGTGCTGCCAACCGGTGTAAGGACGAAAAGTACCTTGTTATCATCAGCTGCCACACCTGCCGCAGATAATAGCGGATGCTCGAGGACGCCGATTTCCATCCCGAGGTGTTCATTAACGGTCTGGTTAGAGAGCCGCGGGTTCGAGTCCGCCACTTACCTCCTAATTGGGAATTTTGCGGAATAATTCCCCGTAATCGGCTCCGTCGGCCGTCGGGTCCAAATAGTAGGGAATTACTAAGTCTGGGCTTTTAATCTTCGACGCCTCTGTGGCAGCGGATCATCCATATATTATCTTCTCATCTATTTCTTGTTTGGAGAGATTTAAGTTTTGTAGTTTTCGATAGGAGTAATGGCTTCATCTTAGATATTGGGAGATTATTTTAATCCTGATCGGAGATTGCCACTTAAACTTGAGTTAGGGGCCTTAATGGGGATTTTGTCAGTTTTGTCAAGGTTACTGTTATGTAGGTTGTAAAACGATCCAAATTTCTGTTACTTTAAAAATTATTGATATACTTTTTAACACTTGTTAGAATAACAGCAAAACGTTTTTGTTTTTTCTTTCATTTACTGAACAGGTTAGTTCATATAACCTAATTTCCTCAATAGATCCAAATACGAATTGAAATGGAAATAGGTCAACATCGATAAATATGAGTGTAAAATGTAAAGCTATAGGGAATTTTTGCACGTCAAGTAAATCATATTAGCAAACCCAATGATATCCGTTGCGTCACATTCCATAAGTAGCTCCTCCACCATTGTTAAGCAACATCCCCCAACAGGAAGCCCAAGACGCTGAATACCCGAGTTTGACATTCAACGATTGTGATATTGTCCCGGCTGAATACATTAGGACCTCAGCGAGCAATTTGATTTGTGCGTCTAGAATTGGCTGTTGGAAAACCGCCACAATCCCTCCTCCCGACCAACAACTTCCTTAACCAGTCTTGCGGCAACTAAAAACATCTTGGGCGCGCTAATATCCTGGGGGTAGCCAGGCCACCCTTAGGTGCAACAGGTTTTGTTCATGCAAACTGGGGACAGAAATAGTTTTTTTGTTATAATGATTTATTTATTAACTTAATTATACAAATTCCACTTGCTTACATGCTTATTATTTTAAAACTGAGGAAAAGGACGCTTTGCTTTATCCAAGGACAGAATACACGTTTAAAAAGTAAACTGTTTTCGATTACACGTTAGCCCTAGATGTTCAATATGACTGGGACGGTGCCGTCATCCTGTAATACAGCTACTAGGTCACGAATTGTGGATGTTTATAGGCATGCACTGTGGATGCGATGTTCCCTGGTGTGGATTAACGTCTGCACTAGTGAGTACTACGACTATCCTGATACTGTAATTTTACCAATTCGTTAATTACAAGGGGAAAATGTGGTTTGGATTCCACTATTAACTGTAGGCTCCTTAGTTGCCGTTGGCTGTATGGGCTTTTAATTAACAGCTGTATCAATTTTACGATCTGCATATTTTAGTTTACGAGATACACCACCATTTAGAAAACTGCGTTCAACATTGCATGTTGGGGTTGATACAATTAAATGAATTCAGGAGCCATCAAGATCAGTTATTGAGAACGGGATGTTATGGGGCTTAAAACTGTTTAAATTTGGATTTTCTAAATCTTTAGGTACACTTGAAATATAAAAAGTCCCCAACTTTTACTACAGCTATCATGTAGAGCTAAAAAACAACTTAGTACTTTGGAGCATGCGTCATTGTACAACTAAATGTTGCTGATAAATACCCAAAAACTGTACTTTTGAAATGCTTATGTTATTTATGAAAACAAAGAGTCAACTGTCGTATTTAGAGTGTTTATGGATACATTTTTTAAAATTTATAAAATGTATTTATTTCATACTATTAACATATAACAAAACAAAGCTAATTTACCCCTTTCCTGTCGCAAAAAGCATAATGTATTTAAACAGATAAATCTGACTCGTTTAAGAAAAAAAACTGCAGTCAAAATCTAGACAAATGACAATTCGCCTAGTTTGCAGGTTTGCTGCGGCGAGGGTATACAACACAAACAGCCCGCATCCCTTAAAAATACAGGTACAAGTAATTTTCAGACGTCTCTGTACCCAAATAATTTATTCCGTCTAGTGTTTTATTTCCCGCCACAACAATACAGAGTTGTCAATATGCCGCGCTGGCCGCCGTTTCTAATGACGGCCATTGTCTGTAATCAGCTGTTTTTATCACCATTGTTGCTGGTGCGTGGTGTTGTCGCTTTCACGCTCTTCCAAAGATTATGCTTTAATTTATTCCGCCCTAGCAACACGGATGTATCCACATGGAAACATGGAGTTGTGTAATTGTAAAGCATTGTCACATGTGGTGTCGTGGTAATGCAGTTTTTGTCTATTCCACCACTCAATTCTAAATTAATCAATTAATCAATTAATCAATTAGTTAAGATGGGGAGGCCACTGTCCGATTGTAGGTGACTCTTTAATCCGTTAGGATTTAAATAATGAATATTCAGTCAAATCCACAACTAGCTGAAACCACAAATAGTTTGAATTCCATAGTGGGTGATGGGAAGTTTATGTTGTTCGAAAGGTCGTGCATTAATTGCGCCACAGAGTTATTTAATTGCGCCATGCCCTTAAGAGTCGCAAAAATGTTCTTTAGTTGCGCCAAGCCCCAGCCAGGTAGGGGTGAGTTGCCGCCAGAAGGAATGCCCTTTTTACGTGTCATCCTAACCTAACCTAATCTATCCTAACCTAACCTATCCTAACCTAACCTACCCTATCCTAACCTACTCAATTATACAGTCAAAGAGGCTTAGTTAAGGAACTATCGGGTGGCTCCCTGGGGTAGTTGGCGCAATTCAGGAATACTCAACTACCTCACTTAAGGTCAGTTGGCGCAATTATTGCCCATCCGTTTGAAAGTATTATTGTGGACTAACATCACCATAAAGACGGGTTTCATGACGTTTCAGGATATGAAAGTCGATCCTGTTTTCAGGTGGGAGGGAACCTTATATATGAAATCAGTACCCAAACTGGGTGAAAAATAGGCGTAGAGAATAAATATTAAAAATGGCGAAAAAATATACAAATGTAATTTTGGTTAACATATAGGATACTACAAGTTTTGATTACACATTGCTATGTAGTTTCAATTTTCGTCACTATAACATAATATTGATATTATACAGTGTGCATCTATTTTAGATTACAAGTTATTTTTTAAGTTTCTACGATAAAGGTGAAAAATAACGGTACAGTAAACGATACAATAAAGCCAAACAAATCATCCGTTTCGAATGACCAAAACATCTATGAAGTCTGTCTTCCTACCGTCTTTTGTTTAAACCATCTTGTAATCTTACCTCAACTTAAGTACAAGCGCTGACGCAAATGTTATGGTAAGAGAACTCAACAAACCGCCCATGAATAAGGGACATGCGTGCCTTATCAGGCCGCTGTTGTTGGTTTTGTTTCGTGCAAACTGTCGGAAGGGAACGCCTTTTAAACACGATATGTTTGTAGTTCTTTCATGTACTGAAGTCAACTAAATGTGTTTCCGTGCCTATCCGTTATACTGTGTGGGTTTGCAAAGCTTTAGTCTTGAGAAACTAAAAAAAAACATTATGGTTAGAGATTGTATAATAAACTGATTTAAGTACATTATATAAAGGTATTCTAGTAAAGTTTCGAAAATATGTTAAATTTAATCTGAAAGTGCAATCTGATTATTCCAACGTACCCAGATAGTGAACCCAAATTTTACTCGTAGAAATCTGTCCCATGCTTTGTAACGTGTTACTAGATTTGTTACAACTGTTTTACTTTTCAAATCACTGTTTCTATTTGTAACCTGTTACTAATGTTTGTGACAACAGTATAATACTTTTCAATTACTGTTCCTCATGGTAACCTGTAACTATTGTCTGTTACAACTACTTTTAAATCACTGTTCCTCTTTGTAACCTGTTACTAATGTTTGTTACAACAGTTTAATACTGTTCAATGCCTGTTCCTCTTTGTGACCTGTTACTTGTTTTACATCAGTTTATTACTTTTCAATCACTGTTCCGCTTGCAATTTGTTACTAGGTTTGTTACAACTGTTTTATACTTTTCAATTACTATTCCTCTTTGTAACCTGTTACTAATGTTTGTGACAAAAGTTTAATACTTTTCAAATACTGTTCTTCTTTGTGACCTGTTTCTAATGTTTGTCGCAACAGTTTAATACTTTCCAATCACTGTCCTTCTTTGTAATATGTAAGTTGGTTAACTAATGTTTGTGACAACAGTTAAATACTTTTCAATCACTGTTTCTCTTTGTAACCTGTTACTATTGTTAAATACTTTTCAATCACTGTCACTCTTTGTAACCTGTTACTTGTGTTTGTTACAACAGTTTATTACTTTTAAATCACTGTTTTAAATCACTGTTTACATCTCTTTGCATCCTGTTACTAATGTTTGTTACAACAATTTAATACTGTTCAATCACTGTTCCTCTTTGTTACCTGCTACTTGTGTTACAACAGTTTAATACTATTCAACCATTCTTTGTAACCTGTTACTAGGGTTTATCACAACTGTTAAATCCTGTACAATCACAGTTCCTCTTTGTAACCTGTTACTTTGTTATGTTTCAGCACAATGTGTCCAGCCTCTAGGGATGGAGTCAGGGGCGATCCCTAACATCGACATATCTGCCTCCTCCTCCTTCGACTCTGGCAATGTCGGTCCTCAATTTGGCAGGTAAATATCAGGGTTTATGGTTTATCGTTTATAACTAGCAGATCTCTTGTGCAAAACGTGCATGATTTTGGTATATTGATTTATTTTCACTAATTTTATAACATAATTATTCTTGGTGATCAACTGTGCTTATGACGGGTTTTGATTTCACTGAATGTTCACATCCAATGACCGCTAATTATTATCATATACCTTTATGAGCAATGTGTGTTTCTATGCTTGCACAAAGATCTCGAAAATGGCTTCGACGATTTCCTTTAAATGTTCAGTTAAATGGCCTACAAACGTGTTTATTGCCGTTAAAACTGCTAACAAAAATCGAATTACGTAAAAAACTGATTTTAATGTCAACATTTTGTAACATCGGCCTTATGGGTTGCCAAGTAAACATGTTGGTTCAACAAAATAACAAGGAAAAAGTAAACAAAAGACTTGTAACACGTGTTCATTAAAAAGCCATCCACAATATACAAGCAAATTACAAAATACATCACAAAGTAAAAAACATCAGTTGTTACCATTGAGCAAAGATTACAATTATAACAAACTAGACGTTTCAATATTGCAAGGCAAGAGAAAGAAAAATGTTGACGTAAAGTAAATGAACTTAGTTAAAGAAAAGTAAATATAGCGCTGGAGGCGATATTTCATCATTAAATCCCGGCAAAACTCGCGCAATTTTGGAAAAATCTCTTCGCAAAAACTTCTTGAGGACAAAACGAGGTGCGTTACATTGCGGAAATGGAGCCTCCAGACATCCATAATGGCGTCTGATAGCGGAAATTAAAAAGGCCATATTGAACCATCGCCATTTCGCCGTTCGGTTGTAATAAACGCGGACAATCTTTGTGATCTGATTATAAAATCTGCCGTTGAAAGAAAGAGTTAAGTCTGGCTCGAATTACCTATTCAGCCCTCGTCGAGTTGTGATTTATTTCGCTGGATCGTTTATCCCACAGAGATTCATTAGACATTTATTGCCAGGGTCGTTTTCATTTGTTCAACTCTTCGCGATTTCTTCCGTTATTGAAATCTTTTATAATTAATCCCTTTGGTTTATGGGACGTGGATTTACGTCGAGTTTGAGGTCTTTGGTTTTTGTAAGCTTTACTAAACGTTTTTAAGTTATGAAAACGTTTCAGTTGAGTTTAAAGCCAACAATGTAATAAAATCGAATAATTAAATAATCGAATAGTTAGACTTACACAGTTTTGTAAGTCTTTGTGATAAGAAGCAAATTTAAAATTGTCTGTTTGTTTAACATGTAAACATAACATGTATGTGTATGTTTGTAACATTGTTTGACATATTCGTAAATTACAAGGCAAAAATTTGGTTCGGATCCACTATCTGTGGGTCTCTTAGTTGTCATTGGCTGTATGGGCTATTAATTAACAGTTTTTTTGAGTCTAAGGAACATGTTGGCCGTAGTCACTAACAAGATTACAAGATCGCGCCAATCATCCTACACTCACCATTCATACTTGGCTTAAGATACCTACATTCGTATGGTCGTCATTTCGTAATAAAGTATTAAATTAAAGTATTAATTTTTTTTATAACGGAGCAACAAGTTTTACAGTAGATCCAAATATGAATCAATGATGAAAGTGGAATGAGGTGCTTTGTGGTAGCCACGTCACTGACTATAAAATCTGGTGGTTATTTAGTGATGACCATTTTTTATCGTGTAACGAACCTTTTTTTATATTTTCAGCGTCTTCTTGGCAAGCAGGCGAGAATTAAACTATAGCTATACATCCATAAATTGTATATTGTATATCAACTCCATGTTCCTCTAATGTTCGTCTAATGTTCCAATTTTGTTCCTATAATGTTCCTCTAATGTTCCTTCATGTTCCTACATGTCCCTACATGTTCCTCTAATGCTCCTCTATGTTCCACTAATGTTTCTCTAATGTTCCTCCATGTTCCCCTATTTACCTCTACTGTTCCTCTATGTTCCTGTAGGTTACGTGGGGAGAGCCATGGAGGTGCTTGGTGTCCAAAACACCAGGTGACCACTGAACCTACGGAGTGGCTAGAGGTCGACCTCCACAAGGTCCACGTCATCACCGCTGTGGAGACCCAGGGGAGGTTCGGGAACGGCCAGGGACAGGAGTTCGCGGAGGCCTACCTCCTGGAGTACTGGAGGCCGAGACTAGGGAAGTGGGTTAGATACCGGGACGTCAAGGGAGAAGAGGTTGGTATAACTAATTTGGAAATTCTAAAGGTAAATTTTTGCTAAGATGACGATTTGATTGTTGTTAGGAAAATATTGCCACATTTTATACGATAAAATATTGGGATAATGTTTCATATAGGATATAGCACCCGCTAGCCAAAACGAACAACTTAACACCAATATGCCCCCTCCTCCCAATGCTCCATAGTAAAAATGTTTTAACGTTTTTCGCAACTAAATAGTTAGCAACAAAGCCAAATAAATAATGATATTGATTTAAGGTTTATTGCGAACATTTACCATCACAATGGTAAAATGAAATAATGTAATAATGTAATAATGTTGGCCATAGTAACTATAAAGATTTTTAATTTTGTACATTGGACTACGTTGGCAATCAAAGATAAATCACCATGATTTCTGTTAACAAATTTAAAAGTTTTAGGGATTCGCCTTAACTATTAATTCGGAAATAAACATTTAGGCTAGTGGTTTAGTTTGATCACAGAATGAAGAATACACTATTAACGATGTTTAGCTATCACGTGGAGCTTCTGTCTAATTTTTGTTCTGTGGTTGAGTGTACAAAACAAATAAAAAATTTATTAGAGAATATAAATAATAAAATATTATGTTTACGTTCTTAAACATGGTTTATTGACTTTTAAGTCTGGCCACTTCTGTTATTCACATTGATATCACATTTCGAATCAATAAATCATATTTAAAGTTCACCATTGAATCGCTCAAAACAACAACCTTAAAATTTCCCACACTTTTTTGACCGCACTTTTTCATTCTATTCCCGAGAGCGTTTACAAAGGTGAGCAACGGAAGGGTTAAGGAGCGGAAACTCAGTTGGTATTTCCCTTTTGTACGGACTCGCTCTCATAATAATGAGGCCTTTCAGTGCTGAATGCGGCCTTTCACCGGGTTTCAATGCACGTCCTCAGGGACGTCTACAATACTCCCCCGCCGGACAGACACCCCTGTACCGGTACATTGCTCCTTTATTATTCCTGACATGCTGCCCTACACGTGGCTGTTTTGGCCCCCATGAGACCTACTTTGACGGTATTTTTCCGCAACAGAGTTCGTGGGTTTGGTGCTCATGAAAAATTTCCACTAGTGGCTTTATTATTCTTCATATAGGGTTGTTGTATTGTTGTATAGGGGAATTGCATTGTTTTTGCTAGGAAGATGTTTGTGTTCAACTGTTAGACTGGAAACAGAAAAATTGCCGTGGGAAAGATTTTACAAAAAACCTAAAACATTTATATAAAGAGGTGTGCAAAAGTTAGGTCTACTTTAAGATTGGAAAAGTATTGATCAGAATTTTTTTTTTCTAGAAATCATTTTTTTAGAATTTCAAATAATTTAGTTTTCAAATGGCTCTTAGTAATTCAAGATGGAAACAATACAAAACTTTTTTTATAACGGTATACATTTATGTAATTTTAGTTACATGAAAAATAGCTGAAAGTAAACTACTATTGTTCATCACTTTCTCAAAAAATGTATTTTCTACCCTAACTCACTTGAGAGTGTCTACATGATGTACTTTGTGCCTTATATTACCAATTTTACCATTATCTAATCACCGTAATTCCCCCCAGGTTATCACAGGTAACACCAACACATACCTGGAAGCCAAGAGGGAGTTAGACCCTCCCATCTGGGCGTCGCGGGTTAGATTCGTCCCATACAGCTATCACCGTCGCACTGTCTGTATGAGGGTGGAACTCTACGGCTGCTATTGGAAAGGTAGCTATAATTTAGTACTTTGTACTTGGTTTTTCAACACTCGAGTTGTTCAAAAGTCAACATTTCCACACTATCTCTGACTAGAGTGTACCTGAGGAACTCAAGATTGGGCAGTTGTTCAACCTTTAATGGTTATTCAATGGTCCCGAAACGCTACCAACCTAATGTAATTGCTTAGTTAGTTTTAAGAATTTAAGGTTAGTCTGAATGTATAGACCAAAATGAAACTGTGCATAATTTGTGTGTTTTTTGGCGGAAAAGTAGAGAGATAAGAGTAAGTAAATAATGTTCTCAATATTGTGATGTTTAAAACCCTTTTGGAATACTTATTCCGTTACCAAAAATAGCCACGCAAAGATCTCCTATGACTAATAGAAGTTCAATTATATGTGTTAAAGACAATAAATTAATTTACATTATTTGGCCTTGAAATGTAAATACTAGGTACAAGTATGATCACTTGAAAGTTTCCGTTTTGTGTATTATCGGAGTTGGTAGATAGAGCGATGGAGTTTGATCCATGTGTCCATGTAGTGAGGTTTATATTAGTTTAGGACGGCTTAAACTAACCTGTCAAGTTTAATTAATTGGGTTTAGCCTACGTTGGTCCTTGGGAGGGATGACGTCACGATAACTTATAATGTCCTGGGATTTATTGTTCAGTGAAATGGAAAAGTTTGAAAACCTCTGATACTTGTGTTTTTGAGTAAGAACAATTACTTTGATTACCATAACAACTTATACCTTTTACATAATGTATCATTTGGTGCATACAAGGAATCCAACTTGGCTTATTTCTCTTATAGCTCATATTTAGAGTACATCTTTAAACACAGTCAGCTAGCAATTTCGTTATGCTTAACATTCCCTTACAATAATGTATGTTCCAAAGATCAATGTTTTTGTCAACCTTTTACATTCTCCTGTTTTCGATATACAAGTGACCATTGTTAGCTATAGATCCAGAGAATATTTTGAAGCTAACAATAAACTATACGCACACAAATAAATATTCAAATTATCTAAGGAGGTTAAAGTTTTCTAAATTTTTTCACATATTCTCTTTGCCGTTTTATATTGATTTTCTAAAAGGAAAACAGCATAAAAACATAGAGCACTTAATGATTAGTGCACCTCACACTGACAAGACATTTAATTAAATTACCATTGCTCTTATGTAAAAACTGTGATGACTACACCATGGCCTCTGTTGCTACAGGCGGGGTAGTGTCGCACTCGGGTGGACAGTAATTGCGCCAACTCACCTGAGTCAGGTGGTCGGATATTCCTGAATTGCGCTAACTACTCCAGTGAGCCACCCGATACGTTCCTTAACCAAGCCAAGTAGTGGCCCCCTTTGACTGTATAGCTGAGTAGGTTAGGTTAGGTTAGGATAGATTAGGATAGGTTAGGTTAGGTTAGGATATGCTAGGTTAGGATAGGTTAGGTTAGGATAGGATGACACGTAAACAAATGCATTACTTCTGCCCCTACCCCCTACCTGGCTTGTGCTTGGCGTAACCAGAGGTGTATAGTCAATGGCGTAGCTAAGCAACATTTTTTGGGACCCTTTTAGGGCTTGGCGCAATTAAGGAACTCGTTGGCGCAAGTAATGCACGACCTCGTACTCCATTCATCAGGGTTGCAGTTTTCTGTATCAATTGTGATGATGACTACCATATGACCTCTGTTTGCTTCAGATGGGGTAGTGTCCTACTCCATGCCTCAGGGCGACAAACGAGGGGCGGCCTGGGAGATGTTTGACGCGACCTACGACGGCCACTGGGACGGAGAATTACAGAGAGGCCTGGGGCAACTCACCGACGGTCGTGTCGGGCCAGACAACTTCAAGATGGGCTACTACGACTACGGGAGGGGTAAGTTATTTTTATTGTTTTTGCGTACTCTTACTCTTAGGTGTATTTTCAGCCGAATATAAGTGGAGGATGATTAACGTGAGATGATCTGTGTAGCTTGGTAACCAACTATAACATTTTTTTCTTCGGCTATCATAAACTACCTACATGAACATTCTGTAAAACAACTGGAGGGCCTAATCTGGTTTTAAATCCATAACAAACCATCCCATTTCTGAAGTACGTTGAGGTGCTTTAAATAATAAAACTGTATTCAATAAAACAGGGGATTACCAGTTAACTAAACATATATTTTAAAAATACACAGTTTTATTCAAAGTATGTCTACAAATTAGTTAAATTGACACATCGTAGCATAAACAAAATATATAAACAAAAGTAAAATATTAAGATGTACTAAATTTATTTTTTCTTGTATTGACTTTGCAAGTATTGTCAGTTTGGCCTAATAAATAACTTATTGACTTATTATTATTATTATTGAATGAATCAAACACAATCTGAATTATTGATGTTCACCTACGATAAAAAAGCCAATTTAGTGTTCATTTTCAACCAAACGTCTAAACCAAAAACTCATAAAATGTCATTCATAGCCACAAAAACTACGAATCCAATTAATAAGTTAACAAATCGCTCGCGTGTTTTCTAGCAACAGACATTGTTTCTCACTGGACTCCTCCATTTGTTTTTGAAGCAGTAATTAATTATTTTACCCCATGGTTCACCCTTGTCCATTTATTGACCCTCTGCACCTTTTCATTAGCATTAACTGCCTCACCTCCCGTCCATTTCATTACGCCCAAAGGGGTGATTTTCTTCCCCCACAGTTCATCGCTGCGTGCATAGGCTACTACCTAGCTTTCAAATGTGAACTGGCAATTACCTGATGTTCGACATCTTGCAGTGTAATTAGCCAGTTTAGACCCGTTTGACCAATCACTTTTGGGCGATATTCAAGCTCCCTTAGAAGAGAGTTTTAGACTTTATAGTATAGTGACTCCAAACATGAACTCTGTTGGTTCAGATGGTTTGCTTGATTTGGGTCTAGTAGCCCAAGTCCAAGACTAAAGACGAGTGTTTTAAATGTTTTTCTTTTTTACTGTGGTCCTTGCTAAAGAAGAAATTTGCCTTAGTAACAAAGATAGAAAATGCACCTCACTTTGCCAACATTCCTCTCCACTTGTTTTTAGATTAAAATATCTATGCATTTTTTCTCTGTTCAAATGCAATGTCGATGACAAACTAAATGATTCAAATCTAAGAATGATGTATACAGACTCCGATTTTCTTCTCTAGATGCATCAACGCTTCTGCTTTTGAGCTTTGTCAACTTATAACACCCATCCTTACAAATATGTTGAGTAGTTTTATACCTTTTTCAATGTTTCAGGCCAAGGATGGGTAGGCTGGAGAAACGACACTAGAAGTGGACAACCTGTTGAGATCAAATTCGAGTTTGACCAAGTCAGAGAGTTCACCGCAGTTCACATTTACTGCAACAATCAGTTCTTACGTGATGTACAGGTTAGTTGCGTTGATTTTCTGATTTCATTTTTTACTTAATTTACACCATAACATGAAACTCCTATCTTAGATAATCTTTGCTAGCCTTATCTGGAATACATTCGCTTCTCATAAACTAGGTCTACATCGAAAGCTACACAAACCAACAAATTATGGTTATGTTTGTCTACTTCTATAGAAAATTTAAACCAATATCGTAAAAGATATTTACAACCCAACGAACCCACCAAACAATACCATCACTTTGTCGCTGAAACAACAGGAGTAAAAGTTTCCAAGTAGCAGACATCAGTGGGTGTTTACGGTTCCTGCAGCAGTTACAGTGGAAAGTTAGCGAAGAAAACAGCAGACTATCAGATCAGTGTGTTTACCTAGCTCAGCTGTTTGATGTGTTACAAACTTGAAAATGTCTTGAGTTGAGACAGTTAGTTCAGTTCAGGTTGAAGTTTCCCTCTCAATATATTATCAACATCGTCTACCGATAACTTACCCCCGTGTTACTGCAAGTCATCAAATATAGCTTGCTAATTACTTATGAGTTTTCAAATACGTTGAGATCAATAACCTAGCTTGCTAACACATTAATATTATTGATGATTTACCATAAACGTTCAACAAATTCTCAATCAATCATTGGGACGCCACCTAGGTGCGTATTTTGACCCAAATATGAGTGAAGGATGAGTGTAGAATTGTATGAGATGATCTGTGTAGCTTTGTTACTGACTAAGATCAGCTGTTTCATTAGCCAGAATCATTTATTTAAAGCCTAATGACCAGGAACAGCTGGGTTCAGTTTCGAATCATCTAAAAGCTACTGACTTTTCTCGGGATCGTACAGTGACCTTTATATTGATAAGCGAGTATTATAATCACTCAGCTACCCAGCCAGTTGTATTGCATCTCAATTGTTCTCAACAATAGTATTTTAAATAAATTGCGAGTTGTCAAATTTAGTTTGCTATTAATCTTTCAAATTGTTAATATCAGTGTTTTTCAATACCAATGGTGTTGACATGGTCTGTTTTTCGTTATCATTACTGGTACTGGTGCTAGTCTTGGTAAGTTTGGCTAATGACGATAATACAGCTATACACATATTATTGATGCAATGTGTAACTGGTTTGTTCAAAAGAGGGTGAAGACTATTTTTTTAGCTTATTTTTTCTCGAAATTTATTAATTACAAGTCCATTGAAAGTAAAGTAAACTATAAATTTAAATACCCGTTAAAACTTGTTTATGTCCACCACTATAATTAATTACAGTGAAAAAGTTACTTTATATTTTTACAACACAATTGCAAGCAAACACTCGAGTTTTAAAAGCGTCGAACTCAGAATAATAAATGTTTTCAATCGCAAGGAGTTTAGCAAACCTTAAAAGCACAAAACTTTTAACTTTCCAATCGTGTTGTCGTCTGCAAAAGTTACAAGTTAAATCTAGATAAGTTAGCAAACAAGTTGGTTTTTAAGACTTGAATACTGGCTCGAATCATTTATAAATTTGCAATCGTTGTTTGTTGAATTTGTATCATGTTGTATATGGAATTAGTCTTAATTTCCAATTTTTGAGAGAAAAGGGTGTTTTAAGTGTTGAAACCCCCCAACGGTAAGACCCCCATAAAAAGTAAACGAATTTGCAATAGAGGGTTTAACTTGTAAATCAACTACAGAGTTGGAAAATTAAAATCCAGTGAGTACTAATTATTGATGAAAAATACTTATTTTGGGCATGATGGTATAATATTTTTAGAATATGGATTTTATATATAGATTATTTTTTCTACCTACCATATTTCAATACATATGTTATTTTAACCGTGTTGAAAGAACAGTTTGTTTCAAAAAAGCTCGTTTATAATGTTTTCCGCACCATAATAACCATCTAGCTATTATGTAACCCTTTTCAAACTAATTTAGCTAAGTCTATAATGATACCATTACTTATTGGATACAGAAGCCAAAAAATTGTATCAATAGCCAAAGATAATACAGTACTTAATTCTTAATTATTGTCAATTTAAACAATCTACAGCCTTTGTTAATGATTGACAAAGGCCTTCCTCCAAAAATGTTTACATTGTGTAAAATGGTGCATTGCCTTAAATTAAATAAATAAATATGCTTACTCACGAAAATGCTATCACCATGGTAAACTAATCCTTTGGATCGGGATTTCGTTCATTGGTCAGAGCTGTAACAAATAAGTACGGTGAAAACACCTAATAACTATTTTATATTATTCGGAAACCCTTATTTTAATGCATTTCGTAAATACTGTCTTCAATGCGAAAAAGACTCTTTACTGCATCACAAAAATACCGCCTTCTATTCATTGCTTTACTGGCTTTAATTAATATTGTTTCTTTTAATTGTGGATTTAAATTGATCGTAACATGTTTCATTGCTTAAACATATCCAGCTATTTTTTTAACATACTTCAGATTTCCTTCGAAGAAATAGTAGCCAAGCTTTTCAAAACTTTGATTGTGGATCAAGATACTAAACATTCAATCACATTTTTGTGTTTAAATAACGAAAGAATCTCGTCAGTTGCCCTGTTTTCCTAGTCCGTTATATCACTGGTAGGAATCACGAAGACAGATTGAGTACATATCCTACTGAAAAGATCGTGTTACATCCGATACAATAAATTTGGAAAACGCAGCCTGGGATTTCGGTAACTTGTATGTTCTGTCAGACAGACAGAGATTACCTGAGTCGGAAGTATATTGGCGTCACGCAAGTCTGTGACAGTTATAAGAGCGTAACGCATCACGCACTATGCTCATGTCAGGCACACACTGACACGCTGAACTGCTAGACTTGGCGGTGATCGTAGATGATGTAGGTAATGTCTTAGGTATGGGAGCGAGCTCTAGTGGTAGAGCGCAAGGCTTCGGATCCCAAGGTCCCGGGTTCAAATCCCGCCAATTACCAACGGATTTCTATGTGATGATGCCGCAACCCTCTAAGACTAGTCTGAAGTTAAGTGTAAAACAGTATGGTCTTAGCATGTAAAGGTGGGACATAAAGAAATGTCTCAGGTTGGGGAGTTTAAGTGTACTGGCATATAAGTAAACTCTAACCTCTCACTTTGATCGCTGTTTAAGATTTTTCTCCCAAAAATTTCTATATGCAATTAATGTGTCAGTTCCGGAAATTGTTGGTTTCCATCCATCTACTAATTCAGGTAGATGCTAGTTTTAAGATTTGTTGCGTTCTGAATGCTTTGGTTACTGATCTTAGAAGGAATTTTTTCTTCGGTAGTAAAATTATACTGTCCATTTTTCTGGTATTTTCATCTAGGTGATTATTTTGACTTCTCGCTTATTTGAAGTATTGCACTTGTACACGTTGCAAATCCGATGGGTATTATTACAAGAAGATTGTAATAATATTCTTTCTCAAAATTGAAGGGTATTTTGTTAGTGCTCGCCACTACAGTGATCATTGAATTTGTTGATGCTGACAAGTATGGAAATATGGCTAATAACTTATAGATATTTTAATCGCTTATAACTGTGCTGGGGACCTTGCCACTTATTTTTGTTTCAGATCCAGTCACTACCAAGTCTTCTCATTGTTATAGGTGTTCTCGGAGGCTGTGGTGATGTTCAGTATCGGCGGCCGCTACTATGTCGGAGACCCCATCACATACACGTACATGGAGGATCGCATCTTTGAACACTCTCGCAATGTCACCATCAAGCTTCATCATCGCATCGGCCGCTTCGTCAAACTTCGGCTGCACTTCGCCGCACGATGGATCATGCTCAGCGAAGTCACCTTCGAGTCTGGTGAGTCAAAATAGTACTTGGAATTTGTTTGGAGCTTTTGTTAAACAATTGTAGATATTTCGTTTGCATGTGATGGTGAGTCGGTGGCTCATTCGGTAGCGGGCCCCAGGTAGCGATGTCGTGGGTTTGGATCCTGGTCACTGTTTATCAGTTCACCTTCGTACTGTACTGGCTCACCCCTTGCTTTGTTGGATACGTTCCACGCGCGGTTTTAAGTCTATATGGACGGGCAAATGCAAGGTTAAAAAGGCCGCCAATATCTTAAAAAAAAACCAGTTACATGTCTCTTAAGTACTTAGAAAAATTAAGCAATGAAAAAAGGGCGCTGCTGCAAAATGAATTCTCCTTACAAACATAATATTTTTATTAATTAACTTTTAACCAAGCAAATTACTTGTGTAGAATCCTAATACAGCTTACTTAGTAAATTCCCGATTCTTTTATCAGAACGCAACAGAATCGCCCGTAATTAGAGGTCGACCTTCCTCTGAATTTCCTTAAATCTCTTTATTCTTTGATGACAGTTAATTAAACAAGAGCCTGGCCAAGCTAGAATTTGAATATTCAATTAAGTAAGAAAACGAAAATCCCGGACTCCAACTCGATGAAAAATTAAATTGATCAGTGTTGAGTACTATCTACTTGGGAGTTATTAGAGTATTACTTATTGTTTAAAGTTTCTATTTTTGATATAGTTTTCAAGCGATATGATATATATTATTATATATTTTTCATCCTCCTTGGATAAAAATAGGAAAGCCATTTATTTTTCACACTTTAAAAGTGTCTTAATCAATTACCTGTTTGAAAATCGACATTTTAAATATATTTTATCGTATTTTAAAAGTGGTTTCTAAATATTTTCATCATTTTACCTGATTTCCAGTGGTTACGTACCTTGGCTCCAATAATTCTTCTGGTTTTTGTATTTTATAACAAACTCATAAATTTTGTCATCTTTTAATGGTAATAATGCTCAAAATGAGGCCTTAGTGTTACTTTATACAAAAATATGTAACAACCATGTAAAATATTCGAGTAAACAATGCAACCACAAATGTTAATTTTCGACAAAATTCTTTCAATTTGTGGTAAATGATAAATATTTATTGAAATTTTTGGATGTTAATACATTAGCCTACGAGATATTAACATTTCATTTGTAAAACAACTATAATATTTTGTTAATTAACACAAGTCTGGTTTAATATTAAATATCTTCATTAAAATATATTTCATCCGCTTTAATAAACATAAGCTGACCACAGTTGTTTCGCGTAGGATTTGTGTTTATGAATTTAAATCCAAAAAGGAATGCGTTTAATGAATTCAACCGACATTTTGCGTTAATTTAATATGATAATGTAGTTTTTTTATACAATATCGTGCTGAATTCATCCAATAGATACATCGGAGATATAATGGTTAATTGTTTAATATTCTCTTACATGTTGACGTACGTTTTTAGATAGTGAAAAATTAGTTTACTACGCCATAGATATGTATAGTATTTATCAATAAAATCACAGATTAGAGTAGACCTACTCTTTAATCTGTGTAAAATTGAAATAAGTGTACACTCCTGTCCTTATTAAAAATATTTTGTTCCATAAAATATACTCGTATTAAAAATATCCAACCTAAATTTTCATAAAACGGTAACCACCGCTTACATAGTCAAGTTCATAACATAAACCAAACTAAATTCATTATTCCTGACACACTTTACACTAAGAAGTGAACCAACCAATCAGGAGATGGAATTAAGCAGCATGATGTATCAGCACCCAAGTACATAACATAATCAATTCTTGGTTCCTGATACACTTCATACTGAGAGCTGAACCAACCAATCAGGAGACGGAATCAGCAGCATGTTTAATGTAAACCAACCAATCAGCAACATGTTTAATGTATCAGTACCCAAGTACATAACATAATCAGTTCTTGGTTCCTGATACACTTCATACTGAGAGCTGAACCAACCAATCAGGAGACGGAATCAGCAGCATGTTTAATGTATCAGCACCCAAGTACATAACATAATCCTTCCTAAATTTCTGATACTTCACACTAAGAGCTTAACCAACCAATCAGACACATGTTTAATGTATCAGTAACCAAGTGCATAACATAATCCATCCTTAATTCCTGATACACTTCACACTAAGAGCTTAATCAACCAATCAGGAGATGGAATTAGCAGCATGTTTAATGTATCAGCACCCAAGTACATAACATTATCCAGCCTGAATTCCTGATACACTTCGTACTAAGAGCTGTACCAACCAATCAGGATACGGAATCAGCAGCATGTTTAATGTATCAGCACCGCTGAGCCTAGCTTCGTCTTGGTTGTTAAAAATGCACCCTCCACTCGTGGCGGCAGGTGGCTTAATCTTAATCACTCCGATATTGCAAAGCGACGCCTATATACAACCCCTGAACGCTTGATATCTTACTTGTAAGGTTGAAACTCTACCCCAACCGAAATATCAAACATTTTTTAGCTCAAAAACAAGATAAGAAACGTAAAAGAGTGATCAGTGTTATATTTTGTTGAATTCTGTCTTCAAAATTAGTTATTATGGAATGTACAAAGTTGTTTTTATTGCCACTTTATTGGTCTAACACTTTTATAGAAATTAAAAGCTGTCTTTTCGTAATTGTGCTCAAATGGGAACCAAAACTGTTAGCGTAGCTTAGTTTTTTAATGTTATAAAAATGAGTTGGTATCTGTCTGCCATCTGTTTTTTACAGTAGCATTAGAGAAGGATGGTTTGTAATATGCGGCCAGAATCTGTCACAAGGATAGGTAAACCTCCTAGTACATTTACCTAAATGAGGTGGTAGGCCTAACTGTCCGTTTTTCCTTTCATCATACAACAAATAGAGGATAAAACTGAAATTCTGAAAAATATAGCTACGCCTACTGCTGCAGGGATTATCACTCAGACCTTTTTTAGAATTTTCATTTCTACCTCAGCACCAGACCTATATATTTCTGAGGTAGAGTTTAGGGAAGTAATGTTTGATTTTTTTCCCCGATTAAAAAATTACATTTTTCCAAACTACAAAATCTATAAAACAATTATGCTCTTTGAAAAGATTGATTGAAAAAATTACGTTATGTGTAGCAATCATCATCATACTTTGTCTTTTTTTACATTACATAATAGGTTTCAATAGCTTTCAGCAAATATAAATTTTATTTTCGTACCGTCATTTTCTGTTATATTACCATACCCAAATACTAACATCCTTCAAAATACAATACAACTACGAAAAATATTACAAATTTTATCAAAAGCATACTTATATTTCCAAAATTGTAATATTAAATTTTAAAATCATCAGAGGGTAAAGAGTCTGAGCTTACCTGATGAAACAATGCAGGGTGGAGGCATGTCGGGAATTACGTGACAAAGGGATGACAAAATAGTTCCTTGCCTCCCCTCGCCCCATAGAACCTCCTGACCGCATACCGTCATAGTCGATGTATTTAATGAGCTTTGTGTCACTTTAATGTTCGGATCGGCATGTCTGTGATATTGGTTGGCGAGTAGATGACTAGGATTACGGGATTGGTATGTGATACACGGTTATATGGTGTGGGTTTAGTGTAAATTCTAGGAGATTCTTGAGATGATGTATACATTTTTACATCATAATTGTGGTATCAGAGATAGTAGGAGGTAATTAGTATGGTGTTAAAGATGAGTAAATCTAAGATTTACAACTTTTATATGCAAATTCAACTATATTTTTTTATTGATACTTACATAACACTCTTCCTTATTGTCAATGTACTGTAGTTTTTTTAATAGTCCAATCATTTTAGTTTACTTTACCAAACTGAATAATTTTAATAGTTTCTCCCCTATTGGGAAATATCACTAAAATGCTTGCATTCAAGCTATTTTGTAATTATTATGGAGTGATAGGAACTAGAGTTCGTCCAGTGGTCGAAAACTCGAACAATAATATGTAATATACAGACTTCTCTATTTTCACCCCACGCTGTAAATAAAACATGTGTTTGGATTTTCTTCCATTTGTTTTGATTTTCTGTTTATATTTCGCTGTTATTACGTCACCAGTATTTTCAACCCATAAGTCACGTGTTAATTTCTGAAAAACTTTAAATTAAGTTTGTTATGCTAATTTTTTACACCATTTTAATTTATAAAACGGTTCTGCACATCTACATGGAAATACCTTTCTATGTATGCGCAGATTTTCCCTGCGATGCATACGAGCTGAGAAAAAAGGTTTTCAAGAAACATGTTTGCCTATTAATATATAAGATACGAACAAGTTTGCTCCCAACTCAAGTTACTAAATTTATAGACTTATTATTGTATGTTTTCTGTTTGGACTCGATTTGAGAGAGTCGATTTTAAAATATACCGTTGCATTTTCGATATTAATGGAGTTCACATGTAAAAAACTTTGGTTATTATGGAATCCAACATGAAATATTTGTCTTAAATATTATTATATTTTCCTTTACATACACCGGAAAAAGTTAAAATTCTGTCTTTTTTTAGGAAATAATGAATTTGTTCCTCATTAAAATTCCTTAATAATGTAATTAATCAAATATGGTAAAAACGAGAGTTTTTTTGATTTTTTAAAAGCTATGCTTAGGTTTTCCCATGCCTAATCTATCATGTATATATATATATATTTACACCCAAATAATTTTGGAATCCAGATTCACTTCTAATGCTTAATTCCAAACGAGACACCACCTTGCCTACAAAAAGCGTTAGAGAAAACTCCAGTATTGGTTAACGAATAGAATATTTTCTAAAGTGAAAACTCAATCGACGTTGGTGTTATTTATCTATAACATGGGAATTAATTACAGTAAATCCCTGTATGTGTCATAACCTGTCTCCCTTGACAATAACAGGTTAATCCTGTAATCCTCGACACATCCTGTCCAGGAATATCACTATGTTTTGTACAGCTGGTGACATCCGATGTGGAATGAG